GGAGAGGGAGACGGCGGCTGAGATCGGGTGGGCGGGGGAGTAGGCGGAATGGGAAACAGAAGAGGAAGCCCCGAGCTCTTGTGCGCTGTGGACCTTCCGAAGGGCTGTTTCGTCACTGCCCTTCTTCTTTTTTTCAGGAAAATAATCGTCCCCGTAGGCGGAATGACTGGACGCCCAGACCATTGACACTTGTGATCCTGATATGAAATCGTGAAGTTTGTTGTACTTGCGCTGAAGCCTCATAAATTATTTCTGTGAACTACTCCCTCTGTAAGAAATATAAAAGCGTTTAGACATGATCTAAACGCATATCTAAACGTTTTTATATTTCTTTAGGAAGTATTATTACCTCTGAGACATACTTTGATACACAGAAGTAGCATGCGTGTCCTTGTTTTCAGTTAAGATGGATTATGTAAGAAAAACGATTGACTAGTTGTGTTATATAATTTATATAGTTCACGAATATTTATAGTGCTAGTTGTGTTATATAATTTCTGTAGTTCATTATAAAATTGGACTCTACTGCTCGCAGTGTTCGCCGTATAGTATTCTAGTGCGTACTACCCAAATACCAACACTATGATAGTGTTGTATTCAATTCACCGGCAAACGAAGAAGTTCCTACCCTAGCGCCGCCCCCACCAGGCGACTAGGGAGAGGCAACCTTTTCCTCCGATCTCCACCGGCCGGGGCGCTGGCCCCCTCTCCCTTCGGCCGCTGCTCCGGCGGCAGGAGAAAGAGGGCCCCCCGTTCCTTTGCTTTGTAGTTAGGGTTTGGATTTATAGGTCGTGGTGCGTCGTTGGGGTGGTGGGAGCGGCGCCTGGACGAATAAATCTGCCTCAACTCTACTTCCACACCGGCGGTGTCTTTCATGGCGGAGTCTCGGAGTTGATGGCATCGTGTCTCTGTCGATCCCTTAGATCGGCAGCGTTAGGGTTCATGGATGGTGTTGGCAAGGCGGCGGCGGCGACTCCATCAGGTGTGTCTCTCCTTCTGCTCTGTCCCCGTTGCTGTGGCGTTGTCTCCGACGTCATGGTGGAGCAGGGAGGTTTTGTCGTTCAGGAGTACGCGCAGGTGATTGTCTACGCAAGTGACAGCTGGAAGATGGAGTATCCTGTGTTGGGTCTGTGGTCGAAGGCTGCCAGTTCTGGTTTCCTCCTCCGACGTCGTCGTCGTCATGCGGGGGTGTCAGTTCTGAAGTTCGATGGCGTGTCCGGGGACATGTTGCCCCGGTCTGGTTTTTTCAACGGCTATGGTTTTGCTTCTGGCAAACTACTTTGGAGGTCCGTAAAGCTGCTGATCAGCGATGGAGCCGCATCGAGCTTGGGTGAAGAGGTGATCTGTCTTTTTATCCTTTGGTGGCCACTTCGGTGGTGTCGAAGGAAAGGGACAAGCGCTGGTATTTTGCATAGGATTTTCCTATTCTTTCAGTTATGTATGGTCAGTGCTTACGTGCCTTGTAACTTGATCTTTATTCTATATAAATGAGACACGTATTATCATGCAAAAAAAAAAAAACCCGGGGTTATCCTATCTCAGTTTTGGGAACACGCCTTATACTTATAGCTCACCTACGCGGCACGCGGCATGGTAGTGTAAGCTCGAAATTGTTCTGAATTGAGGTAATTAGTCTCAGAATTAAGCTCGAAATTGCAGTTACAAGGTGACTAGCAGCACCAAGAGGCGACGAATCATGGAAGCAAGCTACGGCTCAAGTAAGGTCTCCAGTATCCCCCCGTCTGCATCAACCGATAACCGATGCACGCAACCATCAGCTTGGATATCACTAGAACCAAAATCCTTCCATAGGGAAAGGGAGCTAGCTGCTTCCGTATCGCCCCCGAAAAAGAACCAAAAAGTTCACTTCGATTTAGGTCTTTCTGCACCATATTAGAACACATCCTCTTATGATTGGATACATTTTCCCTCTGCAAAACCGAACACGGTTGCATTCGCTATACCGAACATATACAAATGCTCAGTATAATGCCTTTCTAGTGTATCAGGGAGGTGCTCCCGTGTGTTAAGAAAAAAAAAAGGGAGGTGCTCCCGTGGCACATAGCCTCACAGCAGCAGTTGAAGTCGTCTCTTGATCTCGGCACTGCAAACTGCTTCGCCTCTACTGAAGATTGTTCAACAGAATGTAACTTCGGGGAACCATACGAGAACACCCTAATCTCAGTCCAGGCTGTGTGAGCCTCCATGAAGTATTCAGTGACAGAGGTACCTGCGAGCACAGGGGATACAGTTATTAAAATGCAAAATACCGATAGGACAGAAATACGGATTATGTAAACAAAGTGCAAACACCATGCCTGTTTGCAAGCAGCAACTCATGATGATAAGCAACGCAAAAGCCTCAAACAGCAAAACCATACATACCCGCTTGCAAGGTGTTCCCCAAAACAGAAAACGTGAACAAGAATCGTCAAAACGGAGGACAAAGATGAATGACTTACAAGGTGACGTGCAAATCATTCGATAATCAGTGCTTGCAGCGACTAAATGAATCTTGGAGGATACTGATATCCAAATCACGGCCTGTAGCAAAATAGGCATGGAAAGATTCAGGACTGACTTGTAACTTGAAAGTAATGGATGATCAACTATCATATTTTAAGATTATACCTATGAAAACTATCTTGTTCATGCGAGATTGTGTCTCCGACCATTCTCGAGCTGGCACAACCTCATAGACTTCCCTCACTGCCTGCATAAGGGCAAAAACAGACTTTAGCAATGACAATCTGTTCAACAAAGAAGACATACTTTGGTAACTTCGTATTGCAGAGAACTGGGTAGAAACTTTCGTCAATAGCTCTAGCTTATCATGTACAACCTCCGTCCCAAATTAGTTGACTTAGATTTGTCTAGATACGGATGTATCTAACACTAAAACGTGTCTAGATACATCCGTATCTAGACAAATCCGAGTCATCTAATTCGGGACGGAGGGAGTAGTTTTTTCAGATGCCTTGTAATATGTCATAAAAACCTGTAAGGTATGAAGTTGGTTCGAATTATGGATATTTAAAATCCCTTTGCAACGATATATATCCATGTTGGACTTCTTCTCCCAAAGAAGATCTTCAAGCCATGATTCCACCTGTAAAGCAAAATGCATAAGGCAAATATGTAAAATGGATGTCTTTCCGGACTCCAATTCTAAGTGCACGGATGAATGAATAAAATACTCTATTCAGTTGTTTATAACTGCTTGCAATAATGTGTTATAAACCTACCCTCAGAACATAGACATCACTGACACATCTCATTCAAGGAGATAAGGTACCTTAGTCAAGTAAACTGGATCCTGTTCATAAATGCACAAGGTGGAAATACTGTTATCATGGCGACTATTAGGTGGTGCTGATTTACTGTACTCCAGAAGCTCTTGTAGTTGTGATGAATTCTAGGGGAGGAAAAACAAAGTAAGTCGGAGAAGCATCAAAAGGTAGTGACCAAATCAGACTTCAGTAGTTTACTTACCTTCACACCATATGCCTGTCGATCAAATATTGTATTTAAATCAACCTGGCACCGCACAGACCGCACCACTGTAACAAGCGCATTGACATCATGAATTTGCCTTTCCAAATCCTCAAGATCGTCTTTTACTAAGTCAATTTTGTTTAATATCACAACATCCTGTTACACAAGAATTGACACTCTGTTATATACGTTTTGATAATTATCACCAACAAGAGAAATTTTAACTGCATCAGCCCATAGGGATCGACACAAGAATCTCAGATTCAAGAAGCAAGACCCCAAAAAGAATATGTGAAATGAGAGATCGATGCCAAAAACAACAAATTACCGCAAATGCGATTTGGTGAAATGCTTCAGGAAATGAGGAAGAGTTCGTGTGTTCATCAATTTGCCGCCTGAAGTTTTTTGCATCAATAACCTGATCATATACACTAACATGTTCAGCAGGAAAGAGTGAAATGTGATCTCATTTTATAAGTTCTGGTCCGAAGAGCAAATGCCAGAGAAATAAGCATTTATCTGAACTTGTAAGATATTGGCAGAATGACAAGCTTAAATGAGAAACTTCACTGCAGCTACAAACTAATGATAGGAAACTGTGGCAACAAAAAGATATCACATAACAATAGAAAGCGAACTAAACTAACCGTAATGATAGAGTCTAGTCTGATTGATGACTCCAATTGATCGTCCAGCCAGAGAATGGATACAAGTGGTGCAGGATCAGCCAAACCAGTTGTCTCCAATAATATATGATCCATTCTGCAGCAGATGTAATGAGTCTGACAGGTTAGGAGAAATTAAATTCAGATTTGCGTCATCGTAAATTACAGTGCATTACTATCAAATCCAACATTGAATGGAAGTCGATGGAAGAGCATGACCTATGAGACATTTCTAAATACAAATATACAGCGGAACAGACCAGTGCATTACTGCATTGAATTAAAGAAGCGTTGAACCTATTTTTTAGAATAAGAAGCACTTCATGTAGAACTAGAATAGGAAAGCAGACAAATTTAGACACAGAAAAAATGGCCCCTTTGCAGGAATAAGCAGGGTACACATAATTTGACTTGAGGTAAAAACAGAACTTCAACACCAAGTCTGGAAATTGCCCCCCCCCCCCGCCCCTCCCACATTAAGGAATAAGCAGGGTACACGTAACTTAAAAACAGAATGTCAACACGAAGTCAGCATATATAGGTAG